GGGGGGGGGTGGTTAATAAATCCAGAGAGGCAACCTGTGTTCCCAGCTCTGAATCCTTACTGTGTACTTGTTGACTCTCCTATGCTCTGTGTTTTGTAACATTACTGCTGAAGCCATTTACATTGAATTTTTGAAATGTTGAAATGTTTTGTTAAAAATATTCTAAAATAGTCTAATACTATAGACTGTTAAGACCTGTAGCAGACCTAATTCCTGGATTATTGTTTATTGTTTGTTTCTGTTTGTTTGGGGTTGCTGATGGGGCAGTGATAGTAAGCCTTATGTTCTCCTTGTAGTCACTGCCTAGCTTGTTGCCTGACGCTGAGTAGAAAGTAAACATTTAAACAAGTGAAGGAATGGATGATAGAAATAAGACAATGGCAGTTACTTCATGAAATAGTTGGTTAGGTTAATTCAGTAATATTTAGATTTCATATTCTTTTCTTAAGGCTACGGATGCTCGGAGGGCTTTCCCTTGCTGGGATGAGCCTGCCATCAAAGCAACTTTTGATATCTCGTTGGTTGTTCCTAAAGACAGAGTAGCTTTATCAAATATGGTATGTATGTGTTTGTAAGTATATTTAAATTTTGAATAAGTGTTTAGAATATTTAGTTTGCTGGTTAGATGGAATAGCGTGAAACCGCCTAGCACACAATGCTTGATACAGAATGGGAACATAAATGTTAGTTTTCTTATTTCCAGTAAGCCCTCTTTTTTAAAACTGCCTTATTTGGAATTTCCCTCCTCATGGAAGAAATTCCTTATAAACTTTAATTTGGAAAACTAAATAAGTGATGAGTTTAATAAATATTACCTGAAAAAAAAATCTGGCTTTCTTGTTAATAATGCCAAAAGATATAGCCATATAATGAAGTGTGTATTTAGGTTTTTGGTTGATTGTACTCTTGGAATATGCTCTTTTCACTGATGTCATTGATGTCTTTCATAAATAGAGTAGGCATTTACCACATGAAGTATATTGATTAAGACAGAGAGTACCTTATAGCCTATAATACGAATCTGGGGAACTTGGAAAAGCCTACTGTACCTGAAAATAACTGGCTTTTGCTTCCTTTATCGGTAGAGAGAATTCCATAGATAGAATGCCATTCTCTTCTCGAATATTCCTAGAAGGAGAATAATACATTAAACTGAGATATTCTTTTACCGTTTAGTATGAATGAAATTATCAGGTCTGTTCTTGAGTAAGTCTTCCTTGGAAGAAAGAATAGAGAGATCTTGAGGAAATGGAGAGCCTGAATAGGAAAAAGAGGGGTAACAAAAAAGAGAAATGAGGAATTCTGTAGGTGAAAGTGGAGATTCTTCCACAAATTTGCTTAGAACCAGCCTTGGTATAGAGAATGCGCTAAATTTAGAAATCTGTACCCTTTGAAATGTAGATTTCACAATTACACTTCATTAATAGTTATTTGCCTTCTATCCTTCTTTCACTTGAAAAGCATTGAGGTCTTACATCCCAGTGCCTGGCATATAATAGGTATCCAGGAAAAGTTGCTGCTTTTCTCTCACAGATCCTTGGTAGTTTTAACACTTTAGCCCCCAACCTCTTAATGTATCCTTTAAAAAAAAATTTTTTTTAATGTTTATTTACCTTTGAGAGAGAGAGAGCGTGCGCGCTCCTGCGCAAGCAGGTGAGGGTCAGAGAGAGAGGGAGACACAGAATCTGAAGCAGGCTGCAGGCTCCAGGCTCTGAGCTGTCAGCCAGAGTCCAGCGTGGGGCTCAAACTCATGGACTGCGAGATCATGACCTGAGCCGAAGTCTGACACGCAACCGACTGAGCCCCCCAGGTGCTCCTATCCTTCTTAATGGGAGAGATTTTGACAGCATGAAAGCAATGGTTGAATTGGGATAGATAAGTAAGCAGTACTGGAAAGGGGGAAGGAGAGGCAGCACAGTTTATGGCTAGTATTTCCTCTAAGGTATTTAATGTAAACCTGTTTAAATTCTCTACTTCTTTCTTTGTTTCTTTTTCTCTTTCTTTCTTTTTTTTCTTTTTTTTTTTTTTTTAAAGAATGTAATTGATCGGAAACCGTACCCTGATGATGAAAATGTAGTGGAAGTGAAGTTTGCCCGCACACCTGTCATGTCTACATATCTGGTGGCATTTGTTGTGGGTGAATATGACTTTGTAGAAACAAGGTCAAAAGATGGTGTGTGTGTCCGTGTTTACACCCCTGTTGGCAAAGCAGAGCAAGGAAAATTTGCGTTAGAGGTAAATGTACTTGAAGAGGATTGTTCCAACAGTCCATAACTCCAGGTTGGGGAATTTACATTTCTGATCAATTATTAGTACAATTATTTATAATTTAGTCTGAAATTTGTTGTGCTACGTTGATTTTATTTTTAATAGAATTTTGGAACTACCAACCTTGGTGTTATATTAACATTTTACAAGATAATGATTAAGAGAATATTAGAGTGGCATTTATTTATCCAGACAGTGGGTGGGAAAATAAGTAATATATTTTTCATACCAAGTTTTAAATGGCCAACCTTAACAAAGCTTGGGGCTAAGGTAGTCTTCGGAGGTAGGGCTCCCCAGGGTTGGTTTCTAGTAACTTGAGGTGCTTTGGCTTGCAACAGGATTCCTGTGTGGATTTCTATATGAACTACAATGAAATATTTATCAGGTGGTTCTTTTGTTTATACTTTTGTAGGTTGCTGCTAAAACCCTGCCTTTTTATAAGGACTACTTCAATGTTCCTTATCCTCTACCTAAAATTGATCTCATTGCTATTGCAGACTTTGCAGCTGGTAAAGTAAATTTCATTTTATTGCTGAATTGTAATAACTTTTTTGAATTTTGTGATTTTGAGGAAGAGTTATGTACATATATCAATAAATGTTTGTATTTATTTTATGAAGGTGCCATGGAGAACTGGGGCCTTGTTACTTATAGGTATGTTAATGATACATTCCCCTGCCTTGTCTTTTCAATCACTGATTTCGTAAGAGGTTCACACCTACTTGCAGTTGAGTAGCTTCTGCCTTATGATCTGCGGTAAATTCTCCTACCTCCCCCACTTCTGTGCACATTTCAGGAATGCACATGAACACCCTCTGGTGCTACTATCTGAGATTGTAAGATTTTAAAGTGAGCATCTGGCATTAGTAACATTTTTAGATCTATTTTTGGCTGAGTTTCTCGTTTCGGTGCCTTCTCTTCCTCCCAGAAGTTTCATAGTTATTTTTCCAGCTTGAAGAACCTTCTCTGCTTTAATATTTTCTGGCCAGGTTTTTACATGTCTGTCACCACAATACAAACATGTGGGTTGTATAATTTTTAAAGCAGGGTCTGTAAACAAGTTTTTGCCCTGCCTGCTTCAATGAGTTAAGTTTTGGACAGCCTGTTCAGTGTTCTTTTCCGGACTGTGGAATGCATCTTCTCCCAATTTGCCAGTCCCCTTCTTTTAATGGAAGGACTGTCTTCTGTCTCTGTCTAGCACAATAGTCTAATCCCTCAGACTAAATTCTTTAAAAATTTCAGGCAGCTGTCCTATTTACAAACTGATGATTTAACTTGTGTCACACCTTTGATCTTCTGTTGTATGAATTCTGTTGGAATAGCTTTTAATCTTCCCAGAACTTTTTCTCCTTTGTATACTCGGAGGAAATGTTTTCTTGATATCTCTAAAGCCTAACTTGACCATCTTATTTAGTGGGGGGAGCTCCCCCACTTGTGCATGCCTGCTTTTATTGCAATACTTTTATTGTTTAAAAAAAATTTTTTTTTAAACACAGGGAGACTGCATTGCTTATCGATCCAAAAAACTCCTGTTCTTCATCACGCCAGTGGGTTGCTCTGGTTGTGGGACATGAACTCGCCCATCAATGGTTTGGAAATCTTGTTACTATGGTATTTAATATTTTTAAGTGCTCAAATATATTTGTCTTCATCCTGCTGTACATTATTTTGGCTACATAGTATTTCAGGTTTGACTGGAACACTGTGCTAAAAAATAAATGAATCATAGAAAATCTTTATTTTAGAAGGTCCACTTTGAAAAGTGTTTATCAGAATCTCAGTATTAACCAGGAGCACATGGACAGTCTTTATTCAACACAAAACACTTCCTAAACTGTTGTAGGGTTTGCCTACAAATGGGAAGTCATACTAATTTGGGTGACAGGGGTTCCTTTTAGGTACAGAGATTCCGTGCAGTGAGATGCCAGCCTGACACTAGTTTCTTGGGAATATTTATTATGTAGTCCAGTAGCTGAAAAATAACCTGATAAATAACAACATGATCTTTGATTAGCTTTTAGGGGTCCCCTGAAATGCTTTTAGGGGTCAGTTGTCTCATTGACTAAAATATTACATTGAAATTTAATAGAAACGGAAGCAAAGAAAGTAGGGAATAACTATAAAGTATATTAAAATTTCCAACTGTTCCATTGAGGTTATTGTTTATTATAATGTTTACAGTGAATGATCTCTGTCCTTAAGTCTTGACCTTTCCCCTCTTACTCTAAGTAAGTGCGATCTATGGCAGCCAACTACGTTAGAGCTTGGGAGCACAGGGTTTAATGAGTGAACTAGAAGTACCTCTGCAAAGAAAGAACTGGAAATTCTGGAGCCAGCCAAATTCCCTGATAGCATTTTAGGTTGCCAAAGAGCAGAACCTGACTTGGATGTTAGTTGAGTCCATATGTCACAGGAATAAGCAAGAAAGTACGGCATTTAACAACTATTACATGTCTGAGAGAGTTTTTAAAGAAAGCCAGCCCTTGAGATTAAACCATTTCCTTTTGCTTTGGATGTTTAAAATTTTACGTAGGAGTAAAAAAAAAATTTTTTGACATATAATTTCATGTGGAATTAAGTGTGCTAGTAAACTACCAGCAGTACATTTTAGTGGGGGGATATGTGCACATTCTCATATTGCTTTTAAACAACTTTTTACTGGATTTGAGTAACTGTTCTAGTTGTTAGTTGTCAGTTGTTTCATTAAGTGAAATTTAAGGGTTTAATGATAGGTTGGTGAATAGCTAGCTCTGTACCAGCTTATCTTCGTGGGAGCTACTAGTTAAATAAGTGCACAGAGCACTTAGACAAATAGCCTTTCATCACCTAGTATTGAAAACATCTGATCTTTCCAAAATTTTAATGCCTTTTTGTTTTTCACCATTGCATTAGTCCTTTAGCATCTCTATCGTGGATTCTTATATTGATTTCTTTTTTTAAGAGATTTAATCAGCTTTAATGAAACTTAGATTAAGATCTCTTTCTAAAAAGTTGTTTTTTTTTAAGTTGGTTTTATCTGTGACTCACTTATATTCCTTGTCCACTCTACTATTAATTCTTATTAACAGGTGAGAATTTTGTATTCCATAAATACTTAAAACAACATTCATTACTGAACTACTTACTGCCATGATATTTCTGTTCATTTTACCTAATATTTATATAAGCAGTACTGCTTTTCTGTTTATCTAGAAAGTTTAACTTGTCAGTTGACAGTAACTTTTCTCAGTCATTATAAAAATCCTTTCTAGTTTTCTGTGTTTGGTCCTGGTAGCTTTCTGGTTTATCAAACTAACTTTAACCTGACAATTTAGGCTCTTGCCTACATTTATCTGTTCTCTTCCCCTTTTCCATATAAGCACCCCCCCCACCTTTCTCCTTACATCTTTTCTACCTTTGGTAATAAAAAGTGACTTAGCTATGTTTTGAAATGTCCCTCAGGCATAATGCCAATATTACCAGTAGGCCTTTCTTAGCATCTCTTTTAAACACTTTTTTTGTTGTTCAGACATGTGACTTACTAAATGTTTTTCACTGAATTTTGGTTTATTAAGTTGTAAGTTGTAGAGTATAGTGAAAGAGACATGTGACTTTTTCAAGTTAGTGGAATGAAAAGCATTTTGTTTTCCTTACACATTTCTTTCTTTTGTTTTTAGGAATGGTGGACTCATCTTTGGCTAAATGAAGGCTTTGCATCATGGATTGAATATCTGTGTGTAGACCACTGCTTCCCAGAGTATGATATCTGGACTCAGTTTGTTTCTGCTGATTACACCCGTGCCCAGGAACTTGACGCTCTAGATAACAGCCATCCTATTGAAGTGAGCCATACTTTTCAACCATCGGCCTTTCTCTCATATTTAATGAAATAAGTAATTTGTTATAGAGATACTTAGGACTCTGAAAAGAAAATTACATGAGCAGTTCACTTGTTTTTATAGCTTATATTTTTAGTCTTGAAAATCTCACAAGGTTAAGTTCTAATTATGTTTCTTTTTAAGGTAAGCAGTATAAAAATTTGATCTTTGTAGAAGTAAGTGCTATGTACCCATAAACATTCACTAAGTACATTTTTATTGCATAGAATGGGAGAACCATGCCTATTGGGCAGTATGCATAAGGGAACATTTTGATTCCATTGTTTGTTTCAAAGAAAATTCTGAATGGTTTTTTTTTATTGTTGTCATTATCTGTTTTTATGTATATTTTATTTCTCTTGACTTATTTCAGCTTAGTTTATATGAATTAATTTTGCTTCCAAAACACTAGACTTACAGTCTACTTTGATGTATTTAATGAGGATCCTATATAATTGTAAGCCATTACAATTAGCTGCAAGAAATAAAATGTTTTTCATCTCTCCTTTCTTCCTTCTCCAGTCTTCCAGTAAATAGATCCATAGTGATTTACCTCCCAGCAAAGCGGAGCCAGGACCCTCAGAGATGATGGGGATCATGTCATATATTCCACTTTATTTAGTATTAGTTACTACATGCTTTTTAAGGATCATCATTATGCATTTATCAGTGAGCTAAAGGCAGAAAAGTATCTTATGAGTTAGGAGGGTTTTCCTAGAAAGCTTTTTATGTAATTCAGTATTACTGGCTGTCTGCTTCCTGTTATAACCCTGAATCACACTGTCTGCCAGGTCAGTGTGGGACATCCTTCTGAAGTCGATGAGATATTTGACGCTATATCATATAGCAAAGGTGCATCTGTCATCCGAATGCTCCATGACTACATTGGGGATAAGGTAAAAAAGCAGTTTAAAAAAATCTTCCATTCTTTTATGGTGAAATCATAGAGTTTTGCATGGAAAAAAAAGTCTGCTTTCGTTTAAATTAAGTTCCTAAGTAATTTTTCTAGATTCTAGAAGAATATACTCTGATCTGGCTTATACCTCCATTTCTTTTTATACTGACTCTCGTGGTCTCTTAGATGAATGATGTGTAAATGTGTTTGGGGGATGTGTGGGAGGCTGGTATAAAACTTAAAAGCAAAAGTAGAAGGCAAAGCGTATGCATTCTTAAATAAAAGGTAGTAGACATTCGAGGGATATGTGTTTTTCAGTAAATCTGACACTCAGGTAATTTGAGTACTAATATGCAGATACACTATAAATTCCAAGGTCTTAATCTCCTGGATTTTAAAAATTGTGTTTTCTCAGGACTTTAAGAAAGGAATGAACATGTATTTAACCAAGTTCCAACAAAAGAATGCTGCCACAGGTAATCTTTAATAGCTTGAGATAGGAGTGGAGAGAAGGTGTTGGCACTCAATCCAGAGTGGGACATTTAATTTTTCCTAAATGCTTAACATAGGAAATCAAGTTGACTTATCTGGTGCCATGTGTTAAGTCACGGATCAGCATGAATCAGGACCTTCCTTCCGGTGCCCTCTGGTAGTCTGCTCTCCATGGCTCGGTGTCCTGCCACTTCCAAGAGTCTGAAGAGTTCTGTTTGGCCATTAAAATTGCTGCAAATTAACCATTTTTAGGAGTAAACTTATGGAATAACAGAGTTTCAATGAAGTAAGGTTTAAGATTTATAGTGTATAGTGGTCTGTGACTTATTGTGAATGGGAGTCCAAAGAAAGAATAAAGGTGTAAGTGTTGATTGAAAATGACAAAGGGGGGGGCGCCTGGGTGGCGCAGTCGGTTAAGCGTCCGACTTCAGCCAGGTCACGATCTCGCGGTCCGTGAGTTCGAGCCCCACGTCAGGCTCTGGGCTGATGGCTCAGAGCCTGGAGCCTGTTTCCGATTCTGTGTCTCCCTCTCTCTCTGCCCCTCCCCCGTTCATGCTCTGTCTCTCTCTGTCCCAAAAATAAATAAACGTTGAAAAAAAAAAAAATTAAAAAAAAAATACATACATCTATCTGCCTCTCTGTTGAGGGCACGATGTAATCCTGACACTCTGCCCTTCTACCCACCCCCCCCATTCCCCTGGCCATTAATGTCCATCTCAGTTTATGAAATAGAGAGGCATTCTGTTCCTTAAAGCAGAGCCAAAGAAGAATGTGCTCTTGCAAATTTTCTGAGTCTTTAGCATGCATATATACATAATACATGAGGAAAGAGCTTTCTGGTTCTTAAACTGTAATGTACATGCAGTAACCCAGAGCTGAAAATGTTTCTAATTCAGTAGATCTGGGGTGAGACCGGAGGATCTGCATTTCTAACAAGCTCCCAGGTGAAGCCAGTGCCACTAGTCTTTAGGCCACACTTTGAAAAGCAACACCTACCATGTACCTTTTTTGGGTTTATGTTACTTCTAAAGACAGTTGGCAGTTCAGAGACACTGCAGTTACCATCCATGGTTTTTATCCTGTCTGTCCTCACTACCCTTTGCTTAATTCATGCCTTCACAATCTCTACTGAATTCCACAGCTGCCTACCAACTCACTACTTCTTGCCTGCCCTACTCTCTTCAGTTCTCCCTGTCACTCTGAGGCTAGCCAGGGTTATCTTTCT